TCAAAAAATATATGTGGAATTTAAAAATAAACAAATCTCTTATTATTTCAACAATGTGCACAGCATCTTCACCAGGAGATTCCATCTTAAGAAACTACTTTCTTTGCCCATCCCTAACAACTCCTCATTTGTTCAAGTTTTTTATGAGATTGCAGCAATTCCGTCCCATCTTCAGGCTTTATTTCTAATTCTAATTCTTTTACTATTTGTACCACATCTGTAATGACTTTCTCTACTGAAGTCTTGAACCTCTCAAAGTCATCCATGAGGGTTGGAATCTGCTTATTCCAAACTTTTGTTAATGTTGATATTTTGATATCCCATGAATTTCACATGTCCTTAATGACATCTAGAATGGTGAATCCTTTCCAGTAGGTTTTCAACTTACTTTGCCCGGATCCACCAGAGGAATCTGCTATGGCTTTACAAAATGTATTTTTTAAATTATTATTTAATTTATTTAAGAGATAGGGTCTTGCTGTGTTGCCCAGTTTGGAGTGCAGTATTATTCAGTGGCACAGTACTACTACTAATCAACCCAAGAGTTTTGATATTCTCTGTTTCCAGCCTGGGCAGTTCACCTCTCCTTAGGCAACCTGGTGGTCTCCTGCTCACAGAAGGTCACTATACTGATGCCAAACTTAGTGTAGACACCTGATGGCATAGCACACTAAAGCTCAAAACTTATGGACTTAAGCAATTATCCTGCCTCAAGTCTCCAGGTAACTGGTACTACAGACAAAAATGTACCTCTTCAATAGTGTAAATTGAAAGATGAAAATGCCCTTGTTCATGAGCTGCAGAATGTGTATTGTGTTAGTCGATATGAAAACAACATTCATCTCTGTCAGAGCTCTTGGGTGACCAAGTGCATTGCCAGTGAGCGGGCATCTTTTGAAAGGAATCTTTTTTTCTGAGCAGTAGGTATCAATGGTGGGCTTAAAATATCCGGTAAACCACCCTCTAAACAGATGTGCTGTTTTCTAGGCTTTCTTATTGCATTTGTAGAGCACAGGCAGAGAAAATTTAGCATAATTCTTAAGGACCCTAGGATTTTTGGAATAGTTAATGAGTATCGACATCCACTTGAAATCACCAGCTGCATTTACCCCACTAAGATAATTAGTCTGTCCGCTGAAACTTTGAAGCCGGACTTTGACTTCCCTTTTCTAGCTAGAAAAGTCCTAAATGACATCTTCTTCTGATAGAAGGCTGTTTTACCTACATTGACAATCTGTTGTTTAGTGTTACCACCTTCATCTGTGGTCTTAGCTAGATGATCTAATTGCTGCAACTGTTACATTGGCACTTGCTGCTTTACCTTGTAGTTTTATGTTATAGACACAGCTTCTTAAACCTCATGAGCCAACCTCTGCTAGCTTGAGATTTTCTTCTGCAGCTTCCTCACCTCTCTAAGCCTTCGTAGAATTGAAAAGAGTTAGAGCCTTGCTCTGGATTAGGCTGTGGCTTAAAGAAATGTTGTGGCTGGTTTGATGTTCTCTCCAGAGCACTAGAACTTTCTCTATCCTAGCAATAAAGCTGTTTCACTTTCTTTTCAAACATGTGTTCACTGGAGTAGCACTTTTAACTTCCTTTAAGGACTTTTCCTTTGCATTCACAACTTGGCTAACTGGTGCAAGAGGTGTAGCTTTTGGCCTGTCTCTGCTTTCAGCCTGTCTTCCTCATGAAGCTTAATCATTTCTGGCTTTTGGTTTAAAGTAAGAGCCTTGCAACTCTTCCTGCACTTGAACACTTACTTAGAGACCATTGTGGGATTATTGATTGGCCTAATTTCAATATTGTTGTATGTCAGATAATAGGGAGGCCTGGGGAGAGGAAGGGAGACAAGGGAACAACCAGTTGGTGGAGCAGTCAGAACATAAACACCATTTATTGATTAAGTTCACCATCTTAAATGGGTGTGGTTTGCAGTACCCCAAAACAATTATAGTACTAACATGAAAGATCACTAATGGCAGATCACCAAAACAGATATAATAAGAATGAAAATGTTTGAAATATTGTGAGAATTATCAGAATGTAACAGAGACATGAAGTGAGCACATGCCATCGGGGAAATGGCGCTGATAGACTTGCTTGATGCAGGGTTGCCACAAACCTTCAACTTGTAAAAAATGTAGTATCACAGTGAGGTAAAGCACAATAACACAAGGTATGTCTGTGAACTTTTTCAGGATTCTCTCTTCTTGAAAAATTGACTCCTTCATCTTCATCACTGTATATTTCCTTTATCCTTGATAAATTTACTGGCTCTGATGCCTGCTTTGCTTATGTAACTACTCCAGCTTTTTTTGATTAGTGTTACCATGGCATATCTTTCTCCATTCCTTGCTTTTTTTTCAAAAAAACATAGACTTTGTTAGAGCAGTTTTTGTTCATAGCAAAATTAAACAGGAAATACAAGGAGTTCCCATATGCTCCCTGCCCTAACACACAGCATCCCCCGCTGTCAGCATCCCCCGCTGTCAGCATCCCCCGCTGTCAGCATCCCCACCAGAGTGGGACACATCATCACCCAAAGTCCATAGTTTACATTAGGGTTCACTCTTAATGTTGTACATTTTATAGGTTTTAACCAATGTATAATAACATATATTCACCATTATATCTTACAGAATTGTTTTTTGTTTTTTGGTTTTATTTTTTAGACAGAGTCTTGCTCTATTGCCCAGGCTGGAGTACAGTGGCATAGCTGCATCTTGGCTCACTGCAACCTCTGCCTCCCGGGTTCAAGCGATTCTCCTGCCTCAGCCTCCTGAATAGCTGGGATTACAGGCGTGCGCCACCACACTTGGCTAATTTCTGTATTTTCATAGAGATGGGGTTTCACCGTGTTGGCCAGGCCAACCTCAAACTCCTGATCTCAAGTAATCTGCCCACCTTGGCATCCCAAAGTGCTGGGATTACAGGCATGAGCCACCACACCCAGCCATAATAGTTTCAATGCCTTAAAAACTCTCTGTGCTTCATTTATTTACTCTCCTTCCCCTCAACCTGTGGAAACCACTGATCTTTTTATTGTCTCCATAGTTTTGCCTTTTACAGGCTGTCACATAGTTAGAATCATCACTTTTCTTCTATTTATTTATTTACTTACTTTTTATTCTTAGAGATGGGATCTCATCATTTTGCCCAGGCTGTTCTCAAACCCCTGGGTTCAGGCTATCCTCCTGCCTTAGCCTCCCAAGTAGCAGGGACTACAGGCATGAGCCACTGTGTCCATCTACTGTTAATCTGTCTTTGTCTTTTGTAGTTAAAATTAAATTTTTGAGAACATAAACTGGTTTTTTTTTTTTTTTTGAGATGGAGTCTTGCTCTGTCACCATACTGGCATGCAGTGGCTTGATCTCAGCTCGCTGCAACCTCCATCTCCTGGGTTCAAGTGATTCCCCTGCCTCAGCCTCCTGAGTAGCTGGGACTACAGGCGCATGCCACCACACCTAGCTAATTGTTTGTACTTTAGTAGAGATGGGGTTTCACCACGTTGGCCAGGATGGTCTCAATCTCCTGACCTCATTATACATCTGCCTCAGCCTCCCAAAGTGCTGTGATTACAGGCGTGAGTGACTGTGCCCAGCCACATAAACCCATTTCTTAAAAACATTTTCCTTTTTTATCTATTTTTAATTGGCATATTTAGAGCTTTCACATTTAAAGTTGACTGATGTAGTTATATTAATATCTGCCATATTTTAGCACTTATTCTTTTTTTTTTTCTTTCTGAGACAGATTCTCACTCTGTGGCCCAGGCTGGAGTGCAATGGCACCATCTCGGCTCAATGCAACCTCTACCTCCTGGGTTCAAGTGATTTTCCTGCCTCAGCCTCCTCAAGCAGCTGGGATTAAAGGCACCTGCCACCATATCCAGTTAATTTTTGTATTTTTAGTAGAGATGGGGTTTTACCGTGTTTGCCAGGCTGGTTTTGAACTCCTGACCTCAGGTGATCCACCTGCCTCAGCCTCCCAAAGTGCTGGGATTTCAGGCGTGAGCTACCACACCCGGCCTTATTCTTTTTTTAAAAAAAATCTTTTTATCTTCTTTTTTTGCCTTCTCTGGTTTTGAGTATTTTATATGATTAAATTTTCTCAGCTGGGCATAGTAGTTATGCCTATAATCCCAGCACTTGGGAGGCTGAGGTGAGTGGATCACCTGAGGTCAGGAGTTTGAGACCAGCCTGGCCAACATAGTGAAATCCTGTCTCTACTAAAAATACAAAAATTAGCTGGGCATTTTGATGGGCACCTGTAATCCCAGGTCCTTGGGAGGCTGAGGCAAGAAGTGGATGTTGCAGGAAGCCGAGATTATGCAGTTGCACTCCAGCCTGGGTGACAAGTGAAAATCCATCTCCAATAACAAATAACAATAAAATAAAAATAGATGTTCTATCCTCTCAGCATTATTAATTATGCTTTTAAAAAATGTTTTAGTGATTGCTCTAGAGTTTACAATGAAGATTTATAACCTAAGTCTACTTTCAAATAATATTATATCACTTCGTGGGTAGTAGAGAGAGTTCCCCACTCTTCCTCTGTGCCCAGTGACATTGATACCACTTATTTCACTCATTCATAACCTATAATCATTCAAGACATGGTGGCTATTATTTGCTTGAACAGAAAGTTGTCTCTCAGATCAGTTGGGAATAGGAAACATAAAAGATTCTATTTTATGTTCACTTTTTTCTCTCTAACAGCCTTCCTTTCTTGCAGATGTGAGTTTCTGGCCTGCATCATTTATCTTCTGTCTGAAAGACTTTTAACATTTCTTGCAAGGCAGGTCTTCTGGCAACAGATTCTGGTGTCTCTTTGTTTATTTTTGTCTGAGAAAGTCATTATTTCTCCTTCACTTTTGAGGCATAATTTCACTGGATGCAGAATTCTAGGTTGGCAGGAGGTTTGTTTAAACACTTTAATTTCACTTCACTCTTTCTTGCATGAATGATTTCTGAAGGGAAGTGTGATATAATGTTTTTGTGCAGGTTAAAAGAGCAGAACCTTGTGAAAGAGCTAAGGCCGCGAGACCTCCTGGAGAGCAGCAGTGACAGTGATGATAAGGTCCCTTTGACTAAGCCTTCCTCACTGTCCAAGCGAAAACTTGAGCTTGAGGTAGAAACGGTAGAGAAGAAGAAGAAAGGGCGGCCTCGGAAGGACTCTCGTCTCATGCCCGTGTCTCTGTCTGTCCAGGTGAGGCCAGTGGGCCCATCCTGCCTTCTTTAGCCTACCTTTCTGCAATTAGAGCTTGAAGGCCCTGGGTGCATGGTGAGCCTCAGCTGGGTGGGGCACCTTGAGAGCCAGCTGGCTTAGACATGCAGCCCCTGACCACATTCCCCTTCAGACCTGCCTTGACCCACCCAGAACCCTTGAGCAGGTTCCCTGACATCAACTGGCCTGTCTGTAAGGTGAGGATTGTTGTAGCATTCCCCTCTGCTTCCTCCCTCCAAAGATGGAAATGCCCTGGCCACAGGCCCAGCCTCACTTCTGGGTGACCTGCCTTTACCCTGTAGTATTAGAGCAAAGCTCAGGAACTTTTCTGGCTCTTCCAGTCTCCAGCTACCCTAACCGCAGAAAAGGAGGCCATGTGTCTGTCTGCACCAGCACTTGCACTGAAGCTGCCAATTCCAGGCCCCCAGAGAGCATTCACCCTCCAGGTAAGTGCTGAGACCCTGCCAGTTCTCCCTCAGGCACACCCAGAGATTCTCCGTCGCCTATCCCATATAAACCCTCTCTTGTCACATCCTTGGAGATTGGTTTCCAGTGGCTCTCTGTCACCTTCTGGGGGAAGTCACAGCTGATTGGGGCACCCACCAACTCTAAGAAAAATTGCCAGCCTCCACTCTCACCCATCCATAGCCTCTGTCTGGTTTTGCACTTAGGGTCCCAGCTGCTTGGGCTGCCATTACCACCACATGTTCTGGTGCTCTTCAGGACTCCTCTCAGGTGTCCCTGCTGGAAGCCACCTCCGTCTCCACACACAGCCCTCAGCAGCCTCGGGCTTGGTGTCAGTGGGACTCTGTGGTCATGATCTATCTCCCAACCATCCTGCTAGCTTTATCTCCTTCTCAGTGTCCAGCACAGTTGTCCTCAGAGTTGTTTGGGTTCTTGGAATGGAAGCTTGTAAGCATGTGGTTATCCAAAACACAATTCTGGAGCAAATAATCCTTTATACCCAGAGCCCTCTGGTCATTTGGCCCAGCACAGTATCTAGGCCTCTCCCGCTGTGGTACCGTCACACACACTACTGCTTTTCTACATACCCTTTGTACCTCAGCTCAGGTGCACGTCTTCGAGCAGCCTTCTTGGACCCTGTGTGCAGGTCACTTCCCACTGGCTGCACAGTACTCTGAGCCCCAGCTGGTCCTCACAGGGCACCAGAGAGTCGGCGTCAGCCCTTCCCACCATAGGTCCTTCTGGGCCACAGTACTGAGGAATGAAGCAGGGAAGCCGAAGGGTAGGGACCCACAGGTTTTGTTCTTATTGCTGGTGTGAGGGGAGGCAGGGGTGCCTCCAGTGGTCAGCAGCACTTGGATGTGCTCTTGCACTCACAGGTGTTCTGACGTAGGTTCCCCCCTGGGTGCCCTGCTTCTCAGCACAGAACTCTCCCAAACTCTTCTAACCCTTCCCCTAGGCCTCTTTCCTGCCAAGCGCTGCTTGGGACATGGCAGTTGGCCCTTGGCCCAACTCACCCACTTGTGTGGCCACATGAGCACAGACTGTTTGGTGGTTCTGCCTATTTTTCCAAAGGGAAAAATCTATTGGTTAGACACGCATGCGGCTGAGCCCATCTGGTGCCAGACACCAAACTAGTTGCTTCTCATACATGCTGTGCTGGAAACACTTCTGCCAGTTTAGTCTCAGTTGAACAGACCAAGTCTCACTGCCACAGGAACTGGAGACCCTCTTTGGGGTTTTCTAGATGTTCCCTCCAAGCACTGACATGGGCTCTATTCTTGCCAAACACTGCCATCTTTGAAGCTCCTTCAAGTAGGAGGCTAGAATCTCAAGTCTCACTCCCAGCTTGATCCTTTGCAGTGTGCTTTTGGGCACATCACTCCCTTGTGAGATGACGTGGCGGGGTTGGAGACTTTGGGGTCTTTAGCCCTGGCACTGCTTCTCTTTTTCGGCTGTTCAACTACACGGATGACAGAGTAGAAACCAGTTCCCAGCATTCTCCTTGCCCTGGGGGCCGCATGTCTGGCCCTCTGGGCCTCCCACTCAGCCCTTTTGCCCTGCCTGCCCTTTCCCTCCTCTGTTGGCCAGTCAGTCTGCCTCTGTGTCATGCTGCTGCTTTGGGGCCCTGGGCTACAGAACCTTGGAGCATGTCACCTGGGCTGCAGCCCTTGTCTGAGCAGGCCCGTGTGTTTACTTCATCCAGGTCAGCTCCGATCCCTCCATGTACATTGAGGTGGAGAATGAAGTGACAGTGGTGGGGGGCGTGAAGCTGAGCCGCCTGAAGTGCAACCGGGAAGGGAAGGAGTGGGAGACGGTGCTCACCAGCCGGATCCTCACTGCTGCAGGCAGCTGGTAAGGGTGGACAGGTCCTCAGCCGGCCCAGGTGACACAGGCACACATGCCATCATTCTGGTCCTGGGCCTGTTTAGGGGAGGTGCATGGCCCTGGGAGCTCCAGCTCCCACAGGGGTTCACATCAGGCTTCATTCCAGGCCAGGCATATGCGCTTGTCATCTCAGTCCCTGCAGCACCCAGCAAGGTCAGCATCAGTATCCCCATGTTACAGATGGGGAAACTGAGCCCTTGAGGGTTACCCAAGCCAGGCTTTGAACCTGATGGTCTGATTTCCTTGTCCAGCCAGATCCCCAAAGTCTCGAGTTCCACACTGAGGTATGCCTGGCTCACTTTGACTTGGGCTTGTTCCTTTTCTGGATCCCAGATTTCCATCCAAATTGGTCAGGATGGGTTTCTGACTGTCCCTGAAGTCCCCATCCCAGCCCTTTCCAGATTCTGCACTGTGGGGTGGACCTTGATTCAGTGATTGGTCACCCAGTGTCTTCCCCTGGTCTCCTGGAACTGTACCTGAGCCCTCTCCCTGTGTTCAATGTGGAAGGGGAACCAGTGTTTCTCCTCAGGTTCCTGCCTGGCATAGCGTCCCAGTCAGGACTACATGGGAGACATTCAGCAGGGGTTTACAGACGTGACCACTTAGGTACAGTCATCGTAATTATACCCTTAATCATCTGCCATGAGGTCCCGTGTAGATACTTTTACTTGTGTCAAAGCACCTGGCCTTAGGTCTTAGACCACAATTCTTGTGAGCCCTGAGTGAGTTTTGTGTTGTTAGGCCTAGGGAACCCTACTGTTTGTTCTGTTCCTCCCTTGAATCCCCCCTCGGGATGAGCCAGCTAAACTCCCAATCCCAGGCACCCATGTGTCAGATGCTGCCGTGGGCTCTTACTCTCTGTCCCTTGCCCCAAGGCAGGTGGCTTGCCCAGCTGAGCAAGGGGTGTCAGCACAGCCTTTCCCACAGTGACACAGCAGCTGTGGGGCAAGCCTACTGGGCCACCTGAGACCTCCCGTCCTGCTCAGTCCTGCTGAGTCCAGGCCCAGCCTGCAGACCTGCTCCCCAGTGCTGCAGCCCAAAAATGATGGCTTTCTTTGCAGTGGGCTGGCTTGAGGCAGGCTCTGACCACCAGAGATGAGCAGATAGAATTCAGTCACAGTATCAGCAGAGTCAACATAGTGAAACCCCATCTCTACCAAAAATAAAAAAGTTAGGCGTGGTGGCATGTGCCTGTAATCCCAGGTACTCGAGAGGATGAAGCAGGAAATCACTTGAACTGGGGAGGCAGAGGTTGCAGTTAGCCGAGATTGTGCCACCACACTCCAGCCTGGGTGACAGAGCAAGAACTCTGTCTCATACATACAAAAAAGAATTCAGTCACAGCCTACAGAGAGCTCCCTGCTGCCCATGCTGCGTAGAGTGTTCTCTGATTCATACTCTCCAAGTAAACATTTGTAAACAAAAGCATCTCACTTGCCTTTCCATGTTTGGAGCCAGTAGCAACAGTGTCTCATTAGGAAAGCAGTTGGCGGAGCTATTTCCTTAGCTGACCTTGAGCCTGCTGGGGTCACTGGCTCAGCAGGATAGAAGTGACACAAAGCAGGGCTCTGAGTGGCCTGCTGTGGCCAGGATCTCACTGTACTGGCTGCACATCTGCTACCACTGCCTGGGGTCTGAGCTCTGGCCTCACCCTGGGCCTGTGGCTGGGCATTACGGGGCTCTCTCTGGAAAGGCAACAGCCTGCTTGTGCAGGGCCCACCTGGGGCCCTGGTGGTCACTCAGGACAGAAACTGGACAGTGTCCAGACTATTCTGTAAGGCAGTCCTTGTTTGGGAGCGACATATATCTCCTACGCCAGCCAGCCAGCCTCCTGGACACAGAGGTGCATGCCATCATCCCCACACTTTTCCCAGGCTGCCTTGATAGAGACCTTCTCAGAACTGGTTTGACTAGTTGTAGCCAGGAGACTGTCCTGTGGGTATTATGTGGCTTTATCCAATGAGCAAGACATGCTTCCTGGGTGATGATCAGGTGCATTGGCTCTCCAAAGCCCCCACACCTCTTGGTCAGCATCAGCGTGAGCTCAGGAAAGCCCAGGCAGCCTGTGGGCAAGAGGACAGAAGTCTTTTTTTATCCAAGATCTCAGGGAGGCTCCAAAAGCCCCACCAGCCCCACCCTGACGCAATCCACCTCCCGCTCTGGCTGTACCTGCTCAGGGGAGGGCCTTATGGGCCCAGGCAGAGGAAAGGCTCTGTACCTTCCAGGGCTGCTGTCTTGGCTGCAGCGCCCAACCCCCATAACACCTTCCCCCATCTCTGCCTTCCCAGTGACGTGGTGTGTGTCGCCTGTGAAAAAAGGATGCTGTCAGTGTTCTCCACCTGTGGTCGCCGTCTCCTCTCTCCTATCCTCCTGCCGTCCCCGATCTCTACTTTGCATTGCACAGGCTCCTACGTCATGGCACTCACTGCTGCAGCCACACTGTCCGTCTGGTGAGAGGCAGGCACAGGGTGTGGTGGGCTCCAGGCAGGGCAGGAGAGGGCTGTGCAGGCCCTCCCTCACTGCAGGGGCAGGAAGGCAATGGAGAAGGCTGGCCATCAGGCCCCAGAGGAGGCCCTGAGCAGTCAGTGATAGTGCTTGTGTTGGGTGACTTGGGTAGGCTAAGGGCTGAGGGATGGTGTGCAAGGGGAATAGAGGCAGCTGAAGTGGCCCATGCAACCGGTTGCACTGTCAAGGTCCTAGGCGGGGTTCATCAGAAATGGAGTCGTAGCTGGCAGATTGTGGCCATGTTCCTGATGTGGCTGCTGTGGCCTGGCTTCCTCCAAAGTGGTGTGGGTGCTGAGGGTTCCCCATGGCTCTGTTGCCTGGGCTCTGTGCTGCAACCTTAGACACAGGGAGTGTAGGGGCGCATGGGGTACAGAAACTACTTATAGCCCAGAGCCCTCTCACTAGGAGAGGCCAGGTTAGAGGCGCATGCAGTAGGGACCAGGGTGTCTGAGTGACTGAGGCACAGTCTGATGTGTTTACCTAGGTTGGTGAGTAAACTGTTCCCTGTCTCCCTCCTAGGGATGTTCATAGACAGGTGGTTGTGGTGAAAGAAGAGTCTCTACACTCCATCTTGGCAGGTAATCCAGGCAGCAGGCTGCCCCTACTCTCCTGGGGGCCCAAGTTCCTGTCTGATGCTGCAGGAGGGCCCCACTCAGAGAGCCAGGCTCTGGCCTTAGCCCAAGGCCCTCAGTGAGGCAGGAGGTGCGGTTGTGCTTCAGGAGACACACAGTTTCTGGGGGCATGTTTGAATGGGTCCCCAAAAGGTAACAAGAGCCTGGTGTGTGGCAATGAGAATGGCTTGCCCTCCCTATTTGCCAAGGCAGTGTTAACATATTTGCTGCTAAGACTGTGGGAGCTAGAGTTCAGATTTCTCCTTTGGTGTGTTTGCAAACACTTGCTGATCGGAACACACCTAGAACGCATTCCTGTGCTGTCCCCCCAGGAAGTGATATGACGGTATCACAGATCTTGCTGACGCAGCATGGAATCCCAGTAATGAACTTGTCCGATGGGAAGGCGTACTGCTTTAATCCTTCACTTTCTACATGGTAAGCAAGCTGACCCCCAGCCCTATTCCCTAGAAGAGTGTCTGTCTGCTTTGGACAGCAGAGCAAAGGGTCATGGCCTACAGGGCTGCCTAACCCTGCTTTTCCTGGGAGTCAGGCCCTGGAGTATAGGCTGCAGTGACTATCCATGCATGCTCCCCTGTCCTAGCAGGACACTGCAGCCTGTGACCTCTCCCTTAGAACGTATGTGCAGGAGCACTGTCCTCTTGCATTATTTTCAGGAGTCACTTTTTGAAAAAGGACAAAAATTTGTATGGTTCTTGCTGTGGCCCCCTTAGCCACGATGAGCATAGGTGAGTCAGATGTACAGGAGCCTTACCAGCACTAGTAAATTTTTGTGAGTTTAGTGAGCACTTCAGACTTCCTCAGTGAATTTGTAAGATGCTCATCCACTTATCCAGGCATGATCGTCTGTACCTTTCCTCTGTCCACTGTGGAATTTGAAGCTCTTTTCTGTACTTGCAAAATAATTTACACAACAGAGCTCTTAACCCAGCCACATGAAATATGTATGTTGTGTTCTAGCCACTCCAAGTTCTTTTGTTCTGTCTCTACCTTTGGTCCTTAAGAACCAAAGCTTGCTACCTCCTAGCCCCTTTTCTGTTAAGAACTGCCACGCAGAAGTTTATATTCACAGAGAGACTTGTTTCTTGACTTTGGGAAAAAAAAATCTGCTGGATACAATGACTCACACTTATAATCCCAGCACTGTGCGAAGCTGAGAGGACTGCTTTATCCCAGGAGTTTGAAACCAGCATGGGCAACATAGTAAGACTGTCTGTACAAAAAAAAATTTTTTTTAGATAAGCCAGGTGCAGTGGCACACACCTGAAGTCCCACCTCCTTAGGAAACTGAAGCCCAGGAGGTCAAGGCTGCAGTGAGCTGTGATCGTACCACTGCATTCCAGCCTGGGCAACAGAGTGCGACCCTGTCTCAAAAGAAAAAAATCTCCACCGCCTGCTTCCCCAAATTGCAAAATGTTGTCTATTATATCTGATTGCTGTAATAATCAAAATAAGCTGACTATTTAAGAAGAGAAATATTGACTAGAGGCATCTTTGTATTTGGACACATTTACAAAGACACCTAACTGTTCTAAAAGTGTGTGAAGAGTGTTTTCTTCACAAGGATGAGAAGGGTCCCAAGAAAGTGGAAGGGCTGTCAGTCTGGGGTAGTTGTAGAAGTACAAGAAGGTAGAGGCCTAGCATTGCCTGCCAACTACAGGGCCCAGGCCACGTGGGCCCTGGGCAGATCATAGCTGCGTTTGAGCTAAGCATCAGAGCTCACAGCACATAGAGGCCTGCAGTCATCATGAACCAACATATGGAGCTGAAATGTTCACAGCAAGGGCCCTATCCACAGACTTTGCTTCATTCATTGTTTCTTTGGAACAATGATCTGTCAGGCCCATTATCATGAAACCTGTCAGTGATAGGCACCTGTGCCAAAGTGCAGGGGTGCTCAGTGTCTGCCTGCTTTCCTGCCTGTGTGTCAGCAGGGGCTGCTTCTCTGTGGCCTCCTTGCTAGCCTCCTCTGGTAGATCTCTTGGTTATCCTGAGCTCTGTTCCTGCCTTTGCCTCCCCAGGAACCTGGTTTCTGACAAGCAGGACTCACTGGCTCAGTGTGCGGACTTTAGGAGCAGCCTGCCATCCCAGGACGCCATGCTGTGCTCAGGACCATTAGCCATAATCCAGGGCCGCACCTCCAAGTACGTGACCTGAATGCCATGGCCACTGTTCTTAGTCCTGTCCTGGGGAAGTGACTGGGTCAGTGCATGCACAGTCCCACCCAGGCCTGGTCTTTACCTGTCCCTCCCCTGTGCCCCAGGTGCTGGTCAGCATAGGGACACTGGGCAGGACGGACTAGGGGTGCTGAGAGTAGTGGGCCTGCGTCAGGTAATTTCTTGGGGTTGGGGGTAGCAGTCACTGGCCCTATCACTTCAGGGGCCCAGATGGCAGGTGCTGTTGAGATACCCCAATGGTGCCAGGAGGCTCATGGCTGGGATGTGGGGATGGGCAGACAACAAGGATTCTGACATCTGCCGACAGAGTGGCTGGTGGACGGGAGGCCTTGACAGCCCCAGTGCCTGCTCCCCTGCCAGCTCCTTGCCTGAGGCACATGGGGGCAGTTCCTGACTCTGTGTAGTGCCTGCTGCCTCATCATGGAAACTCTCCTGGTCTCTGCAGCTCGGGAAGGCAGGCTGCCCGGCTCTTCTCCGTGCCTCATGTCGTGCAGCAAGAAACCACCCTGGCCTACCTAGAGAACCAGGTGGCAGCAGCACTCACCCTGCAGTCCAGCCACGAGTACCGCCATTGGCTCCTCCTCTACGCACGGTACCTTGTAAATGAAGGTGAGGATCCTAACGGCCCTGAGCAACCTTCTCCTTCTGCCCCTTCATCTTGCCAGGCCTGGCTCAGTCCCTGTGAAATCAGGGAAAAGGTGTGATGGCCCAGATCCCAGCCTACTGCTCTCACATCAACAAGGTGGGCCCCGCAGCCTCTACCTCCCAGCCTGAGCTTCAATCAAGGCAGCTCAGCAGGCACCCAGCCCCTTATAAGCTCTGAGGCTCTGGATAGAGTGGCCCTGAGGGTGTTCCCACAGAGGAGCAGCAGGACAGGCAGCAGGAGGGAGGGATAGATGCCTGAGTGGAGAGACATGGCCTGAAGGAGCAGATTCTACGTTCTGGCTCTTGCCCTGCACCACACTGTGGCAGTGCTGCTAATCTATGAGGGCATCTTGTGGCAGTGTTTCTCTTCCTCTGTCTTCCTCCTCCTAGCCTCTCCTGCCTTGGACAGGCTTGCCTGCTGTCCTGGACTTCCTGAGGCCTTCTGTTCCTGGCATTCCCCGACAGAGCTCTCACCCCGCTGCAGCCTCCCCTGCAGCAAGTCAGGTGTGCTGGAAGAGGTGGCTGCACTGTCCTCACAGTGACTCCAGTAGCCTTACCAGCTTTTCCTCCCACTTGACTGCAGCCTCCAGGGTACGCCATGGGGCAGGCCCTCCCAGAGCTCTCCCTATACAGCTTCCTGGCCTTTTTGCTTTATTTTTGTCATCACCCTCCCCATTTTGATTATAACTTAGAAAACATTTAAGTACAGAAAAGACAGAGAAAATCATATCAAACCCTCACAAATATAATTCCCAGAACTACTAACATGTCACATGTGCCTCTGTCTATATAAATATGAGTGTGCCTGTGTGTACACTTGTAAATGACAGCAAATACTTACTGATCAGCTTGAAGCCTCGCTTCCCTCCCTGCAAGCTGCAATGATGAATTTGATGTTTACCCTTTTCCAATAGGTCTATGTGGTTGCCATTCATTATGTGTGGTCCTGGCTTTTCTGAATACTCAGCCTTCCCAGGCCCTCATACCTCTCCTGTGGTGCTGTAGTCACATCTTCCCTGGGAGCCCCTCCTCTCACTCCACTCTAGTTTGCTTCATCCTGGGTGTTGACTGGGACTTGTCCTGATGCCCTGCCTCAAGTCCCCACCCCCTCTTGACCCTGCCACCCATCTTGGGATCACTTCTGCTACTTGCTTCTCTTTCTCTGTCTTCCACATGACTGTTCCAGTGTCCATACACCAGTCACCTACCCTCCTTTCTGTCCCTTGTTTCCTTGGCTATAAAAGGAGGAATCCAGTGTAAAAGTGGACCCCATTCACTTCCAAAATTCCTCAGATTCCAGCTTCATCTCTCTTATTCTCCACCCTTTTCTTTGGATAATTGAATCCATTCCCTATTGCTTTAGCTGCCCCAAGTGCTGACAGTCCCCCACGCTCTGCCTCCAGTCTTTCTGACAGCCCTACTGAGTGGTGCCCATAACACTTGAGTTGATGAGCCTATACCCTCTCCACTCGGTTGCCCTCTTCAGTCGTGCCTTTGCCATCTCTACCTCCTGCGGGCTGCCTCCCCACCCTTCCGACCTCCTCTCAACACCAGCTGCCACCCAATCTTCTCAAAGAGATCTCACCAGCCCACAATTTCCCATATTTTCCCATCACCTTAAGGAGTTTATCACAGAACTGGCCACGTCTCATTTTTCCTCTGGGCCCAGTACACAGTGGAGGTACTACAGATGTTGTCAGGGGAGTGAGCAAGTGAGTGAAAATCTGTGATTATGGATCTCAGTGGCCCATACTGAGAGACAGGCAGGAGTGTTCTGCCCATAGTAGGCAATAAAATACACATGTATTTATTCTGATTTGATAGACACGACAACATAGCATATTCTTGATTTTTATTTCTTTTTGTAATGTGTTCCTATTTCTGTTTTGTTTTGTTTTTTTTTGTTTTGTTTTGTTTTTTTGTTTTTCTATAATTAGGGTTTGAATACCGACTTCGAGAAATATGCAAGGACTTACTGGGTCCGGTTCACTACTCCACTGGAAGCCAGTGGGAGTCAACAGTAGTGGTAGGTGCTTCTTTCATTGTTGCTGCAAGAACTCTTTCTTGAAACATGAAGGTGGAGATTTTTTAAATAAGCCAAAGTGCTTTGAATTCTGTCCCATTAGACTTCTCCAGCCCCCAGCCTCAGGTCCCAGCATCAGGAGCCATGGAGTGCTCCACCACATGCCTGTGCTGAGGGAGGCTGCCTGCAGGGCTCTGGGTTTGGTTGTGAAGATGGAAGGTACTTCCCTGTCTTCATGGAGCTCAGTCTGTAGGAATGCACACATAAGCAAGGAGGCAGTTCGATCAGCAGGATACTTTCAGACTAGATTCAGAGTAAGAAGGAAGTAGTAAGCAGCATCTTCAGATGAGAGTGCCTGGGAAGGAGTGACCAGGGAAGGCCTCATAAGAGGATACTGCAGATGAAACCCAAGGATAATAGTGAGATGGCCATACAGAGACCTGGGGAAAGCGTTTCCTAGTAGAGGTGAGAGTAAAAGCAGAGTGCTTGATCTGTCTGAAGCCACTGTGACTGGCATATAGAAGGCAAAAGAAGAGGGTGGTGTGAGATGAGGCAAGAGGTGGACCACAGAGCCTTGCAAGGAGCTGCATTTTCTTCTTAGCGGAGTTAGTGTAGAGGTGTCACTAACTAAAATAAACAGTCAGGGAGTGCCTTCTGTAACAGTCCCAGGAAGAGATGAAGGTGGCTTGGATCAGTTGTGGTGGCCATGGAGAGGGGAAAGGAGACAGATTCAAGATGTATTTTGGAGGCAGAAGCAATAAGATTTGATGGGTGGTTGGATGTGGAAGGAAGGAGCATAATGAACATGTGATACCACCAGTTGTTTTCAGCTGCAAAAAAAATGGATGCTGGAACCATTGATTAAATCAAGAAAGGAACATGTTGGTGGGGGATGGGAGAAGATATGGATCTAAGAGTTAGCTCACAGCTTCATTCAATCATTGAACAGTTACTGACGGGGAGCCTCCCCTGGCTAGGCGTGTTATAGGCATGGGGCAGGCAGCAATGAATAATGCAGACCGAGTCTCTACATTCGTGGATCTGCTTTCTTATGGAGAGAGACAGACACATGAGATGCGGTATCTGTAGTGTCTTGAGTGGTGATGGAACTGATTCTGTAGGGATGCACACATAAGCAAGGAGGCAGTTCAGTCAACAAGATACTTTCAGACTAGATTCAGACTAAAAAGGAAAAAAAAATTAAAAGGGCAGGGGGCTGGGTGTGGTGGCTCACGCCTATAATTCCAGCACTTTGGGAGGCTGAGGTGGGCGGATTGCCTGAGCTCAGGAGTTCAAGACCAGTCTGGGCAACATGGTGAAACCCCATCTCTACTAAAATACAGAAAATTAGCTGGGTGTGGTGGTATACGCCTGTAGTCCCAGCTACTTGCAGGAGAATTGCAAGAACCCGGGAGGCGGATGTTGCAGTGAGCCAAGATCGCACACTGCATTCCAGCCTGGGCAACAGAGCGAGACTCTGTCTTAAAAAAAAAAAAAAAAAAAAAAAAATGGGGGACAGGGGGTTACAGAATACTGGCAGGATGCTATTTGATGTTAAGCAATTAAGAAAGGCCAAACTAACAGAAAAGCAGAGACCAGAAAAGGTGGGGGATGAAGCCATCCATATACTTTGGAGAAGAACACCCAGGCAGAGGGAAAGTAAAAAGGCCGAGGTAGGAGATCTTGGAGTTTAAAAGGAACAGCCCAATGGAATGGTAATGGAAGGGCGAAAGGAGCTGACATCAAAAAGGCTGGAGGGTCAGCCCTCAGAGGTCTTGGTGTGTACAGAGGCCTAATTTTTTATTCCATTTTTAAATGTGACTGTTGGTATTCCTTAATTGACTTGGGTAATAGAATCCTAGATTCAAAGTCAAATCCCCTTAGGTCGCTGAGGCATTGTTCCATAGACTTTGCAGCTAGTGTTATTGCTAAAAAAAAAAAATCTATCAGAAATCTAATTTCCATTGCTTTGTAAGTACTTTGGGATTCTAGCTCGGTATTTTAAAGATTCAGAAAGCTCATTCATTCTGTGGAAAGAGAGAAAGAAACCAGTGATTTTCTTTTTCAATAATTTCTTCCCTTTCATTTTCCCCATCATCTCAGAGATGTAATAGCCTTCCTTTTTAAAATCAGCTGTATCACTGGGTGCAGTGGCTCATGCCTGTAATCCCAGCACTTTGGGAGACCAAGGCAGGTGGATCACCTGAGGTCAGGACTTCAAGACTAGCCTGGCCAACATGCTGAAATCCCGTCTGCACTAAAAATATAAAAATTAGCCAGCCATGTTGGTGCACGCCTATAATCCCAGCTACTGGGGCGGCTGAGGCAGGAGAATCACTTGAACCCGGGAGGCAGAGCTGCAGTGAGCCAAGATCACACCACTGCACTCCAGCCTGGGAAACAGAGTGAGACTCCGTCTCAAGGAAAGAAAAAATTAAAAAAAATAAAATCAGCTGTATCAGGCTAGGAATGGTGGCTCATACCTATAATGCCAGCACTTTGGGAGGCCAAAGCAGGCGGATCACCTGAGGTCAGGAGTTCGAGACAAACCCCACCAACTTGGTGAAACCCTGACTCTACTAAAAAAAATACAAAAATTAGCTGGGCGTGGTGACATGCACCTATAATTCTAGCTACCCAGCAGCCTAAGGCAGGAGAATCATTTGAACCCAGGAGGCAGAGCTGAGATTACTCCATTGTACTCCAGCCTGGGTGACAAGAGTGAAAGTCCATCTCAAAAAAAAAAAAAAAATCAGCTGCATCATTTTTTATGTTTTCGGTTCTCTGCCGGATTTTTAATTCAGTCTTTTATCTATTTTAGCATAGTAAGCTTATTTTAAAGTTTTATGTCTGATAATTCTAGTATTGGGAGCCTTTGCAGATCTATTTCCATTGGCTATAAATATTTCTGCTGTTTCTCATTCATATTGTCTTATCTCCTTATGTACCTGCTTATTTTTTACTGTCTGGTAGACATAATATTTGAAAAATTTATTGTACAAATAGTTTGAGGCCTAAGATGATGTTATCTTCTTCTGCAGAACACTTCCAGTTGCTTCTGCCAGCTTCTTGGCAGTAGCACTATAGGGACACCATGATCCAGTTCAGGGACTGAGGTTTTCTAGGCTGCCTGGAACTCAAAGCTGGGTGCTAGCTGGCATAGAGACGGGCTTACTTCCACTTTATACTTGCATACCTTTGGAATACTAGGACAAAGGAGGGGTAAGTTAGCCAGGGCCCTAGCCCCCGCTTTGGTCCCCCTAGGCCTTCAAGTTTTTTTTTTGTTTTGTTTTGTTTTTGTGACAGAGTTTTGCTCTGTCACCTAGGCTGGAGTACAGTGGCACAATCTCAGCTCACTGTAACCTCCACCTCTCAGGTTCAAGCGATTCTCCTGCCTCAGCCTCCCAAGTAGCTGGGATCATAGGCATGCGCCACTACACCCGCCTAATTTTTGTGTTTTTAGTAGAGGCAACGTTTTGCCATTTTGGCCAGGCTGGTCTCAAACTCCTGACCACAAGTGATCCACCTGCCTCAGCCTCCCAAAGTGCTGGAATGATGGCTGTAAGCCACTGCCACCGACCCAGGCCCTCAGATTTGATAGAAGTTCTGCTTAGCCTCTTCCTTAGGGGTAAATATTTCCAAAGCAAAGTATCCCTCTTTGGATTTCTGTCTTCTCCACACCATGGTTCAGTCATTTGTCATTAACACGTTAGCTCTCAGAAGTTTGCTTCTATTTGTTCGTCTTCTTTATTTGTTGTCAGTGAGGAAGGTTGTTCTGAATTGCGTGGTCTGTTAATGGAAGGAAAGACTTGTGATATCTTCTCAGATATTAGCTGCAGATGCTAACATTTTCTAAAATAGCTTGTTCCCTGAATTATCTGCCTTTTCTGGGTTCAATCTTTGATTTGTTCATCGTGGTGTTTACTTTAGAACATTTTACCCTATCTGGAAATCTTTGGTTATCAGGTTGTAAGTTATAAGTGAAGGCCCCAGATTGGTAGCTGACTATAGTTTTCTTATCTTTTTCTTTTTTGAGATAGAGTCTTGCTTTTTTGGCCAGGCTGTAGTGCAATGGCACAATCTTGGCCCACTGCAACCTCTGTCTCCGGGCTCAAGCAATTCTCCTGCCTCAGCCTCCTGAGTAGCTGAGATTACAGGTGTGTGTCACCACACCCAACTAATTTTTGTATTTTTAGTAGACATGAGGTTTTACCATGTTGGCCAGGCTGGTCTTGAACTCCTAACCTTAGGTAATCTGCCAGCGTAGGCCTCCCAAAGTTCTGGGATCATAGGCATGAGCCACTGTGCCCTGCCTCAGGTTTCCTTTTGAAAAGTACAGCTGTTTGCTCTGCACATCTCACCTCCAGGGCAGGCCATCTACTTGAGTGGGAGGCAGGCAGACTCCTCCTCATGGGTAGGTTGTGGAGCTTCAGTCTGATCCAGCTCTCATTCTGTCAGCCTTAGCCCAAGATGCCATCCAAAGCTCAACATAGTAGTTCTCTTTCTCAGCCGGAAAGTAATCACTCTGGGCTTTGGTGGTACAGACAGAAGGAGCCACAAACAAGCAACCAATTAATGGCCATGATTTCTTTTTTTCCTCTTCATTCCTTACCAACTCCAAACAGGACACTTCACTGAGGCAGTAAGTGCTGAAGAAGGAGAATTTGTGGTTCCCCACCCAGAGTCACCTGTCAGTGTGTACTTGCCACCCTCTGTAAAGGTCTCCTGGCCATTCCCTCATGGTCCCAAGGTGGCTTCCATGTCCAAGATCAGGGGAGAGAGAAAAGGAGAAATCTGGTAACAGCAACATTCACCCTCTCATCAGAAAAAAAAAGTCTCCCAGAAACTAGTCTGTGCCTCACAGGCAACCATTAAATCACTTGGACACCCACCCCTACTGCAAGGAAGGCTGGGAAAATGAGCAGCTTTTCTGCCTGTGTACAAAGAATATGTAGGAGAAGAGGATTTAGAGCAGACATAGACATAGCCAATCCCAGTGTCTG